CAGACTTTCCACTTACTGTTTAATAGGATCTCAAAGCATTTGACTACTCTCTTCTGATATCAAGCATCATTGCAATTGTTTTACACTAAAATGTCATTTTTGGTCTGACAGAGAATTATAGAGTATTAAGAAGGAAATTTTTAATGCTAAAAAGTAGAGAGCTAACCTCTAAGTGACCCAGTCACCTATTCAAAGTAGTCCTGCTTCCTTGAATTAAGATTACTATCTGGAAGCTACAGGAACTATTGGATACTCTAGAATCAGTCACTAAGTTCTGAGTGACTACTATAAAGCTGTATGGAGCAGCTAGGTGGCAGAATGGATAGAGTACTGGACTTAGAATCAGGAAGACTCATCTTCCTGAGTTCAAATCTGGCTGCAGACACTTCCTAGCTGTGTGACCCTGGGCATGTCACTTAATCCTGCTTGCCTCAGTCTCTTCATCTGTGAAATGAGCTGGAGAAGGAAATGGCAGACTACACCACTATCCTTGCCAAGAAAACCTCAGATAGGGTCACAAAGAATCAGACATGACTGAGAACAACTGAACAAACAAAACATAAAGTTGTAGACCCTTTAAAGATAGGCTAGGTTACTCAGCATATGCCTGTCTACTACAAAGCTATTGGCTCATGTTTCTCTCTTCTTTTTTGACCATCATTCCTTTTGAGGAAGGGCAGTGGGAAGCCTTTAATAGTCTTCAATAATAGTCTGTTGCCAACAGTCTGATCACTTGCCAAGAATTTTGTAAAGAAGGGTGTTTATTCAGGTATGGATTGGACTAGATGGTCCTTGAGACTCTGTGAAATACATGAAAGAATAAGATCACAGGTGTCCGAAGGGCAGCCATGGCTTAAGTCAAGAAGTATGTAATCAACCCATGGTAGGGTAAGTGCATCCCACTTTCTTAGCAACAGTCAATTATTGTGGGATCTGTCTCCAAAACAGCAACATCTTTTCTTATTCCCCAACATTCCCCTCCTCAGTGTTATTCTCTGCTGGGCAATCTCTCAACTGCCCTGCTTCTGAGAAGGGTACTGACTGCTGAGAAATTATGACTTAACCTCTATCCATGAACTCACAGTAGTAGCTTTACAAGTGCCATTGGGAAAATTCCTTGCCCCACATTCCAAATCTTACCCACTCCCTTTCCCACAGATCACCTCTGGTCTGAGGCAAGACTCCTCAGAGAATGGGCTTTGTGTTTCTGGGTAACGAATTAGAGACCTCCTCCTCTCTTTGCATGTTGAGTTTCCTAGGTTGAACAATTAGGGATGGCTTGTGATCTGCATTGCAGATCTCATCACATTATCTTTCCACTCAAATCCACCACTCTTCTAAACTTCCCTGTTACTGTAAAGGGGACAACTACCTTTTCAGTCATCAGGCTCACAACCTTGGGGTCATCCTCAACTCTTTCCTCTCTTTCACCCCATATATTCAAACAGTTGCCAATTCTTACTGCTTCTACTCCCACAACATTTAGCACATCTGTTCCCTTCTCTTCACTCACACAGCCACCACTGTACCTTAGGCCCTTGTTATTTCTGCACTTGGACTATTACCTCAGAATTGAGGCCTCTCTGACTCAAGTCCCTCCCCCTCCAATTTATCCTCCCAACAGCTGCTAAAGTGATTTTCCTTAAGTGAAAATCTAACCATATCACTCTCTTCTCCAATAAACTCCAGGGACTCTCTGTTGACTCTAGTATCAAATGTTATTTTTTCTTTACCTTTTTTATTTCTACTTTGGTAAATATACAAAATTAACAGCATAGTAATATTTGTATATAATTTACAAATAAGTAACTATATTCATGTAAAAGCAGTGGATTTGGAAGCAGAAAGCCTGGGTTCAAATATTGACTCCCCTGTATAACTGTGGATAAATCTTAATTTTCTTCATTCTCGTCATGTGGAAAATGAGGAGGTTGATATATATGTATCTGTACATACATGCATATATATATATGATATATAGTATATATTTATATATCATATATAAGATATACACACATATACATACTGTGTGTGTATATTATATGTGTATAAAATGCTGATTAAGTCAGCTACATGCAGAACACCATGGTAAGCTCTGAGGGAACTATAAAATGTAGGATAAGACATGGTCCCTGCTCTCCAGAATCTTGTAGTAGTAGACAAAAGAGCCCATCAGTTGGGTTCTGACCAAACAAATTGTGGTTATGAGTGTAATGGAATACTATTATAACATGTATAACCTATAACATTGAGAGGAATAGTTTTAGAGAAATGTGGGAAGACTTGTATCAACTGATACAGAGTTAAGTGAGCAAAACTAGGAGAAAAAAATTACACAGTAACAGCAACACTGAAAATGGAGAACTTTGAAAGACTTAAGAACTCTGATCAACATGATGATCAGCTATGACTCAGAGGACCAATGATGAAAAATGCTACCTATGTCCTGATATGACAGAGAGGTGATGATCTGAATAAATACATAGAATGAGATGCACATTTTTGGATATGGATGATATGGGGAATTTGTTTTGCTTAATTAGCATATTTGTTGTAAGGGTTTTGTTTTTTTTGGGGGAAGGGGCAGCTGGAAAGAAGGGAAAATAAATAAATACTAATTTAAAATAATTTTTACAAAGTAGAGTAAAGGAATAAACACTTCATATTTCCCTCAGTATTCTGTATATAGCAGATGGTGAGTTTTTCAATCAAAGATTGGATGATCACTTGCCTAGTTATCATAGTGGAGATTCCTTTCAAGTATGAGTTGAAATAGAAGGCCTAGGAGATCCCCTTCACCTCTCCAATTCTCTGATTGTGGGACAGTTTACTTGAAATAGCTTAGCTCAGTTCTCTTTTGAAGGAATGTGAGAAGTCTCTTGGTCAGTCTTTAGGCAGGAACTCTCCTTAATTTCAGACTCCTAAAAGCTCTCTCTGTTAGTTATTCCAATATTTGCCAACTCTTATGGGAAAGATTTGAGATTCAACTCTAATTACTAGGAAATTTTTCCTCTTATGCTATCTAATCTATAATATTTTTCAATTACATGTAAAAAATCAATTCTGTAAATTCATTTAAAAAAATTGAGTTCCAAATTCTCTCCCTCTCTTCCTCCCTTCTCCTTCTCCTCTCATTGATAAGACAGGTAATTTGATATAGGATATACATGTGCAGTCATTATGTTATCTAATTTAAACTAAGCACTATGATGGAAAAAGTAGGCCTCTGGAGTCAGTAGATATTCGTATTTCTCCTCTGACATTTAGTTATATGACTGAGGCCCTTAATTGCTTTGACCCTCAGTTTTCTCATCTGTAAAATGGGGAATAATGTATAGTAAGTACCTGTAGTACTTATCACACACTTGTCATGAGGATCAAGTGAAATTTGATAGATAGACAGACAGACAGACACATGCATACAAAAAGTGCTTTGTGAACTTTAAAGTGCCATGTAAATGCCAATTATTATGTTTATGTTTATTGTTGATACTTCATTATATTATTGCTTTTATTATTGTTTCTCTTCATGCTGCAGATTAATGTTGTTTCTTCTTCATCTACACAAAAACTTTGCTGGTAAGTGAAGTGAGCAGAATCAGGAGAATATTGTACACAGTAACAGCAATACTGTATGCTGATCAACTGTGAATGATTTAGGTATTCTCAGCAATACAGTGATCCAAGATAATTAAAAGGACTTATGGTAAAAAAAAATACTATCTGCTTCCAGCGAAAGAGATTATGGAATCTGAATATAAATCAACACATACTATTTTTCACTTTTTGTACTTTTTTAGTGGATTGTTTTGCTTTTATTTTTTGGTCTGTGTTTTCTTTCAGAACATGAGACCAATGTGGAAATATGTTTTACATGACTGCTCACATATAACCTATATCAGATTACTTACCATCTCAGGGAGGGGTAAGGGGAGGGAGAGAATTTGGAATTTAAAAATTTTAAAAACAAATATTAAAAATTGTTGTTTTTACATGCAATTTGGGAAAATATTTTTTAAAATGAAGACTTTGCTGATCTTCACAGTTTTAATTCTCTTGCCCCCTTGAAATGACTTTGAATATATTTTATATTTACTTACTTGTATACATATTATATCCCTCCAATAGATTGTACACTCCTAAGAGCAGGGACTAGGCAGTAGGATTTTGGGATTCCCGCCCTTCCCCCGCCCCCCTCCCTCTTCTCTACAGCCAAAGTGTCTTGCATGTGGTAGACACAGTATTTTGTTGAATCAAATCAAACTAAATTTTTCCTTCTTTTTCTGTTTAAAAGAAAATGAAAAGCAGCTGGCTGAGATTATTTTGGTAACCATCCCACATTTATTTAAACACTTGTTAAGTTACCCCTGCCCCTGGGCTTTATATTCTCCCAAAGGAATAAACTTTTCTTTTTTTTTTTCCAACCTTTTAATTGCTCTTATGTTTCTTTTTTGAAATCTCTCCAAAGTTTTTGCATTCCTTTTGAGTTTTGGAAACTAGAACCAGTCTGACCAGTGTAGAGTTGAAGGATTATTCCCAGGGAAGCAATCTGAATCTGCCTTGAACAAAGGACTGTGTTTAAGCAGTCGGAATGCAGGGCCAGCATTCTTTCCACTGTACCAGGCTGCCCCACGTGGTTACTATATTGGGTGTTTTTGCTTAATTGTTTTTCTTGGTCACAAGGGAGGGTTCCATATGGGGGAGGGGTGGCATAATGACTGGAATGTAAAAACAAAAGGCATCAATAAATTATGCATTATTTTGAAAAGGTTATATTTTCTCTGATGGAAATTGTCTCTGTTCTTAGATCATTGCTTCATCTGAGAGTGTTTATTAGGCTTATAGATACGTATCAGTTCCTTTAGATTCTATCTGGTGTATTCATTGCCAATATTTGAGCTAAATACAACTCTTTAATTGTAAAGGGGTACGCAGTGTGCTCCAGTGGAACCGACATTGGATTTAGAGTCAAATGTTCAAATCCAGGCTTTTTCACTTACCATCTATATGACCTTGTATATTTCATGCCATTTTTGTGGTCCTCAGTTTCCTTATCTGTGAAATGAGTGAGTTGAAACCAGGTAAATTCTAATGTCTTTGAGCCTTTAAATATATTATTTATCTTTATTTTTTAGGTATTTTTGGGGGCATAATCTTTTTATCTGTTCAATATCAAATGCATCAATTTTGTCTAATAATTTCTTATGTTTGGTTGATAAAACACTCCTTTTTCCCATGATTCAGACAAATATAGTATTGTAGTCCTTTTTCTTACAGGTATTTATTAGAGTTATTCCATTTAATTTTATTTTACCATTCTTATATTTTCAATCACACTTTCTTATTGTTCGTTATTAACTAAAACTTAACAAAACTGATCTAAATTCAATTCAATCCAGCATGTACTTATTAACTATCTACTATGTACAGGGCAAAAATTAGCAGATTGGCTAAATTGCTATCTACAGAATTAGGAAGACCTGGATTTAAGTCCCAGCTCTGACACCTACTGATTGTATGACCCTTAGCTGTGACTCGAGATCTAAATATACCCCAAATACTCTAAGACTATAAATTGCAGACCAGGTGCCAAATGTATTGGTAGAGGGAACTTCCTTGTGATAATTCCTTATACCAATGAAATCACAGGTCATTTTTTTTCTTCTTCTTAATGTAAGAGGCTAGATGTTGGGGCTTCAAAGACAACAATGGAACACTCTCTGCCCCTAAGGACCTTACTTTCTACTAGACTAGAGAGATTCAACCTGTATACAAATAAGCAAACTGAGGTCAATATTAATAAATATGTAGGTACTTTTAGTTTGAATTTTCCCTTTATCAAAAATAGAAGCTTCACTTGAATGAATAAATGGATGAATAGATGAATGAATGAATGAAAAAAGAATTTAAGCGTTTACTAAATGCTAAGCACTATGCTAAGGATACAAAAACAAGAAAGCAAGACAGCTTCTGTTCTCAAGGAGCCTCCATTCTAAATTGTTATTGTTCAGTCATTTTCAGTGTGGTCCAACTTTTCATGACCCCATTTGGGTTTTTTTTTTTTTGCAAAGATACTGTAGTAGTTTGCCACTTCCTCTTCCAGCTCATTTTACAGATGAGGAAACTGAGGCAAACAGGGTTAAGTGACTTCCCCAGGGTCACTTAGCTAGTAGGTGTCTGAGGCCAGATTTGCACTCAGGTCTTCCTGACTTCAGGCCCGGCACTCTATCCACTGAGCCACCTACCTGCACCTATTCTAATAAAGAAGACAAAATGTAAGGGGGACCTATAGTTAGAAAGATGGGATGATGAAGAAGCATGGCTTGGAAATTGCCAGGAAGTAGTTCAGTAGCCCATTGGCCACTTCCAAGAGTGGTTGTTAATGGTTGGAAACTTACAGGAATGTTATGAGGAAAGAACTTCATAAAATGCTATAGAAATGTCTATAATGAAGCATGTTACCCGCCTCCTAAGATAGAGGGATGGACTTGAAATTCAAAATGCCATATTTTGGAACATGGTCACTGCATATATTTGTTTTACTTTACTATGCTTATTTGTTACAATGGTTATTTTTTCACTCTCATTTTTAAATTTGGAGATGGGGGAAGAGACTAGCAATAATGATGCATATATATATGTGTATATATATGTATGTATGTATGTATACACACACACACACACACACACACACATATATATATATATATATATATATATATATATATATATATATATCAGTACACCAAAAGGAACAGAAGGAAATGAAAAAGGAAGCACAAACAGGAGAGTTCTGAAAGTAGTGTGTAGAATCACAAACTTTTATATTTCCTTTTTTTCCCCTTTAAAGCAAGCAGCATGAACCTGCCTTTTAGACATCTTGAACTGGATGTCCAAGAGACACCTTAATGTCTTGACATCAACCTGTCCAAAACAGAACTCAATTATCTTTCCCTCCAAATCCTCCCCACCTCTTACCTTCTCTATTATTGTAGGAGGCAACACCACCCTCTCAGTCCCTCAGGCTCTCAACCTAGGAGTCATCCTGGATTCCTCACTATCTCTCAGCCTTCATATCTAATATGTTACCAAGGCCTATGGATTTCACCTTTGCAATATCTCTTGAATAAGGCCCCTTCTCTTCTCTGATACCGCTATCACCCTGATGCAGGCCTCACATCTGGACTACAGCAATAGCTTGCTAGTGGGTCTGCCTGCCTCCAGTCTCTCCTTACTCCAATCTATCCTCCTTTCAGCCACCAAAATGATTCTCCTAATATAGAGGTCAGATCATATCACCTCCTCCCCCCAACTCAATAAACTCTAGTGACTCCTTCTTGCTTCAAGGATCACATAAAAATGCTCTCTTTGGCCTTCAAAATCCTTTAAAACCTAGCCCCCTCTTACCTTTCCAGTCTTCTTACACTTTACTCCCTGAAACATATTCTTCAATTGTAGTGACACAGGCCTCCTGGCTATTCCATGAACAAGACATTCCATCTCTCAGCTCTAGATATTTTCTCTGGCTGTTCCCCAATGCCTGGAGCACTCTTCCCTCCTCTTCTCTGACCACTGATATCCCTGGCTTCCTTTAAGTGTCAACTAAAATCCCACCTTCTACCAGAAGCCTTCTCCAGCCCTTCTTAATTCTAGTGCCTTCTCTCAGTTAATTTCCTATTTACCCTATATCTTCCTTTGTATGTATTTATTTACATGTTTTCCCCATTAGATTGCAAGCTTCTTGAGGGCAGGGACTGTCTTTTGCCTATTTTTTGTATCCCAAGCCTGATACACAGTAAGTGCTTAATAATGTTTATTGATTGATGGAACATGGTTTCCTATACCACCATATTTTGTATTCTGTTGTGTTTATGGAAATATTCTTTTTTTTAAAAAAACCCTACTCTTTCCTTATTCTCTTCCTACAATCTGACTGCTCCTTCTCAGTCTTCTTTGCTAGCTCAACATCACTGTCATTCCCCTTAAGTACGAATGTTTCCTAGCAATTTGTTCTGGCCCTCTTTCCTCTCCTCTCTTTTTTCCTCTCCTCTCTCCTCTCCTCTCCTCTCCTCTCCTCTCCTCTCCTCTCCTCTCCTCTCCTCTCCTCTCCTCTCCTCTCCTCTCCTCTCCTCTCCTCTCCTCTCCTCTCCTCTCCTCTCCTCTCCTCTCTTCTCCTCTCCTATTCTTCTCTGTCTCTGCCTTTTTGTAACCTCACCACCTTCAATGGATTTAATTATCATCCATATGAAAACAGATGAATCTTAGATTATACAGGGTGTCCCAAAAGTCCTACTGCAGTTTTAAGCTATTACTCTATGACTTTTGGAATACAACAATTAGCAAAATAAATAGAGGTCTTGATTTTTAACTCTGTATCAGTCAGTACCTCTAGAACAGAAGTTATCATTGTGAAACTCAGAGGCAACTGTTACTCTTTTAAAGTGTAAAGTTCTCTGTATTAGTTGCTCTTTTTAATCTCTTGTATATATTGTTTCATCTTTTGATGCAGCTCCTTCATCTTTTGCATATATTGATACATTTATATTTTTTTCTTTCCTGGTTCTTTTTTTTTTTTAAATCACATTCATCTTGTGTTTTTCTCACTGGAGCTCTTGTTACATCTTTTGCTATATTTCTTGAATGTGTCAGATCATGTCTGCATGTACTTCTTTTTAATCCCTCCCCACAATTGCTAGTGCCTTTCCTTACATTTAACCTCTTCATATTTATTCTGTATATTTTTATATATTTAATCATTGTTTCCTTGGTATAATTCTCTGCCTTGAGAGAAGGAATTGTTTTATTCTTTATATTTTTGTTCAGCACTCAGCACAGTGCCTGGAAGATAGCAGAATGCTTGAGAAAATATTTGTTGGATGATTGATGGATGAAAGAAATACAAAGAAATACTCTGGGTTGTGGTGGGAGAGGACATTACCAGCAGGGAGAATCGGGGAAGATTTCCTGGAGGACCTGGAAAAGACTGGGTAGGGTTTGATGATACAGAATAGTAGAAGGTAATTCCAGGTCTAGGGAGTTGCACAGGCAAAGCTAGAGAGTTGAGAACTTTGTGACTCCCTCGTGTATTTGGAGGACAAATAATCCTTTTTTCCCTCTGGAACACGCCGAGAATAAAAGTATGAGAAATCTGGAAAGCTGAGGTGGTAACATATTGTGGAGGCCTTTATTTGGCATGTCAAGTCCTTGTAGTGACTTTGACCAGTGGAATGATATCAAATGATTTATGTATGCCTAGGGAAGATTATTCAGCAGGGGTGTGAAGGATAGAGTAGAAGTGGGGAGACTATTACTGTTATTAGACTTTCTGTAGCAGTCCCAGCAGGTGGTAATAGACTAGTGCTAGTGGGAACAGAAAAGAGGAGATGAATGCAAGAGACATTACAGAGATAGAAGCCACAGGGCTTGATCACTGTTTCAGGTGTAATCCTTTTGTCAGAGATTTATGACCTAAAAGGCCAATGTACCAAAATCACTTGTAAAGAGTTTCTTGCTTCTCTTGGCTTGTAGCCAAGGAAATTTGGGAAAATGTAAATATAATACATACTAATTCCACCTCAGTAAGCTGAGCCTGACTCCCTACTTGCAAGCAGGCAAACTGCAGATGAAAAGTTTTAGGAAGAATGGAAACAAGCATTTATGAAGTAGCTACTATGTGCCAAGTAATGTGTTAGGTATTTTTTTTTTTTACAGATATCTCTTTTGATCCTCACAACAACCCTGGGAAATAAGTGCTATTATTATCCTCATTTTACAGTTGAGCAAACTGAGGCAAACAGAAGTTAAATGACTTGCCCAGAGTTCTACAGTCAAATTTGAACTCAGGTCTTCCTGCCTCCAAGCCCAGTCCTCTGTCCATTGCACCACATAGCTGCCTCTGCCTTCTTTTTTTTATTAAGAGAAGGAAAAACAAAGTAGAGACTCTTGAATGAGCAGCTACTAGTCTCAAAGATGTATGTATATTCAGGCACAGACCTGAATATGACAATTCCTCTGATGGAGGAATTCCCCTTCTTTACAGGTCTTGTCCACTCTTCCCTGATGGTTGAAGCTTAGGGAGTGCGGTCTCTCCCCTTTTTCTTTTCCCAGTTTCCTTCGGGGCTCAGCCAGCTCTAAGCAGCTTTCTGAATGCAAATGAAACTCTTATAAGGCTTCACAGTGGTGTATATGAGTGGCAGTAAAGTCCTCTTTCTCCTCCTTGTATCCCACACTGTGCACTTTCACCTATTCCCATAATCTCGGCAGCTGTGAGTGACCATAGTGCTGACTCAGCTCTTAATCCTCAACTTCTTCACTGTATTTGGCCAGGGTACTGACCCCTAGTTAGTCCCTTCCATTTTCTGGGGTTCAGTTTCCTCTTCCGTAAAATGAGGGGGTCATGGCATGGCAGAAATTTGGTTGGATTTAGAATCAGAGAGCCTTTGTTCAAATTCTGCCCTGCCACTTACTATGTGACCTGGGCAAATTTCTTAAGGTCTGTGAATCTTAATTTTATCCAAAAAATGAGGGGGTTGGACAGAATGACCTCAAAGATCTCTCTAATTCCAAATCTATGATCCTGTTACTGAATGATCTCAAAGGGCCCTTTCAGCTCTGACATTTTGGAGTTCCATGTTTGGAAAGGGATTAAGATTAAAAAAGAGAAAAGAACATTTTTTTAAAATTCAATGACAGACAATGGAAAGATGTATAGTGGATGGAAGTAGACTGAAGAGAGTACCTTAAGTGTCATAAAAATATTATCCAAGAGATGTATTTTTGTTATGAAACAAGAGGCCACGTGTTGCACACCACATGATTTTAAAAGACTTGAAGGAAGACCTTTCTCCTGTTGGATGGAGCTATTTCTATGAAAGGTGATACACAATAGTTCCACAGGGTAAAACAGCATGGATAGGTTACAGTCTTCACAATTAGAGCAAACATCCAGATTATAGATTCCCCTGGATATATTGAAGGCAGGGGAAAAGAATCACAGACTCACTTAACTTTCAGAGTTGGAGTTTTGTTAGGTTTTTTGGGCAAGGCAATTGGGGTTAAGTGGCTTGCCCAGAGTCACACAGCTAGTATCAAGTATCTGAGGCTAGATTTGAACTAAGGTCCTTCCCACTCGAGGGCTAGTACTCTATCCACTATACCACCTAGCTGCCCTAACTTTGAGAGTTAGAAGAGTCTAAAGAATACTTTGTTGTTGTTTAGCCATTATTTTTTGATTGTATTTGACTTTTTGTGACTCCTGTTGGGGTTTTCTTGGTAAAGATACTGATGTGGTTTGCCATTTTCTTCTCCAGCTCATTTCACAGGTGAGGAATTGAGGCAAACAGGCTTAAGTTTCTTGCCTGGGATCACACAGCTAGTAGTGTCTGAGGCTGGATTTGAACTCAAGAAGAAAAGTCTTCCTGACTCCATGCCAGATACTCTATCCTCTACATCACCTAACTGCTCTCAATGAACACTACCAGAACAATAATCCCCTCTACAACCTACACAGCTGGAGTCTGGCCTTTGCCTGAAGAGCTCCAGTAATGGGGAACTCACTACCTCCCCAGGGAGTCCATTCTATTTCATGATATTTCTGTTAGGAAGTTTTTCTTTTCATTACCCCTAATTTTCTTTGTTGGAATTCCCACCCTTTGCTCCTCCTCATTCAGTCTTACTGGTCCGAGGAAGTCCAATTCCTCTTCTAAATAATAGACAACGAGGGAGAAGAGAGAAAGAATATGTCCTCCCCACATTATGACCGATGCTGAGTTGATAAAGAGAAAAGTCTTTGGTCACATTTTTACCCTGGTAGTTTGGAGTGGAAAGACAATTGGAATTGGAGACAGGATCTGAGTTATAATTCAGCTTTCGCTATTCACTACCTGTTTGACACTGCACAAATTACTTGCCCGCTTTGGGCCTTCATTTTCTCCTGAAAGGGAGGTGAGGGGATTAGACTGGGTGAACTTTAAGGTCCCTTTCAGCTCTGAATGTTAGAAGTGTTTATTCTTATAGGAGACAGAAGGGAAGAAATGGAGGGGAATGCAATTACCAGGAGGCTCTCGGCAACTAGACAGAAAGGAAGCCATTTCCTCCCGGACAAGCCACACCAGCCTACAGTGTGAGCGGAGAAGGCGGGCAGATGAGTGGGGCGGGCACTGGGCGGTGCGGACAGTTCACTTCCGGGAGGCTAACTTAATAGCATCAGAGCCACCCAGACCTCAGCCTGACCTTTCTGCTGCAGTCAGTCATTCCTGCTTGTGCCGAACCCGGCTGTTGAGATGCACCGGAGTGGCTGCTGAACTAGGCTGGCCCACGCAGGGGCTGGCAGAAGAAGCTGGTGCCTGGTTCTCACCGGACTTAACCCAGGGGCTGTGCGTTTAGGCTGATTGGCAGAGATGGGGTCGACAGGGCGCGCTCTCCTGCGGGCCGTGATCATGGGGCCCCCCGGCTCTGGCAAGGGAACCGTGTCCTCTCGCATCATCAAACACTTCGCTCTGAAGCATCTCTCCAGCGGGGACCTGCTTCGGGACAACATGAATAAGGGAACAGGTGGGAGACCCAGGAGGAGCAGATCCTCAGCATTCCTACTACCCTCCCCGCTTCCAGACCCTCCGTTCCACGGGCCCCTATTCCCTGTTTCCCAGGGAAAGAATCTGTACAAAACTCTGCCTGCAACACCCACACCCTGAGCCTGGAGTCTGAGGCTGGGTCTGGGGCAAGATTTTGACTTACAGAACGCTGAACCGTGCCCCTCTCTCCTCTCTCTTGGAGAAGGGTGGCGTATTGTTTCCATCACTGTAAGTCAGCTGAAATACTCAACGCGAGGTATCTCTGTTAACACCTTTTCTTCCAATTAGTTGGTGTATTCTCCGAGGCCAAAGGCCAGATCTGATCTGAACTTTGTATTTTCCCCTACCACACCCCACCCCCTAGCGCTTAGCCTCGGATTCAGCACTCAAGTTGTCCTGAGTGACCTTTGGCCTACCCCATAACGCCTCGGGCGCTCACTTAACACCTCCTCCACAATAAAACGAAACGGAGTTCTCTAAGGTCCCTCCTAGCTCTAAATCTATGGGTCTTACACGTGGGCACACAATCTCTTTGTTTATCACTCTGAGGGATAATAACCTCGCTCTCGAACCAGAGACCGCTTACTTCTCCTAGTCATTTCTGCCTTCCCTCCTAAACTAATGGCCTCCCCTGCTCCCAGGGTGTGTAGCGGATTGGACCGAGTATCGCCTTAGTTTGCAATAATTTACTTTTCCTTGAATCTCTGGCCGGCCACCGCAGCACTGGAAAGCTTCTTTTTCTCTCTTCAACTATCACAAAGAAAACTCCCATTCCCTATATTAGGAGATAAAGGAGTTAGAGGTGGTGTGAAGAAACCTTAGGAGTTTTTTTTTTGTTGTTGTTGTTCAGTCATTTTTCAGTCGGGTCCGATTCTGGGGTTCTCTTGTCAAAGATACTGGGGTGGTTTGCCATTTCCTTCTCTATTTTATGTTACATATCAGAAAACTGAGGCAAACAGTGTTAAGTGGCTTGGCCCAGGGTCGCACAGCTAGTAAGTGTTTGATCCAGGTTTGGAGTTTTAGAAGACGCTTTTTGCTCTCTCCAATAAATTCGAAAACCATTTCCTTGCTATCTTTGAGGAAGTTGTTCAGTTGTTCAGCCGTGACTACCACTCCCGAAGGGGTTAATCTTTCTTGTGCCCTCATTACTGGAAATTCGGGTTATAAAACACGCTAAACTCGTTTTAGTAGATGCGTCTAGCCACCACACCCTCCTTCCCTCCCCCTCTGTTTTTTCCCCATTTATGGCCCTGGGAGCAAACTAGTTTGAATTTCCCCTCAATTTTAGGTTCGGGTGCTTTTGTTTTGATTCACTTGGTTCTTGTTGGGTTTCCCCTCCCCCTCAACATCGTCTTCGCAGTCAAAAACTTGCCTCTGGATTTCCGGGAGGCTTTTTTGATCAAGGGAAGCTGTTTTCCTTGATGCTCTTCCAAAAATAACTTGTTTTGTTCTTGTGGCCAAGTTCTGCAAACAATCGAAAGTTCCTCTAAATGAGTTTTTCCCGAGTGCAGAACTGCAATCCAAGCTTTTTCAGCTGGGTTGTCATTTAGAGGCAGAATCAGACCAACCAGGGTTCCTAGTTCACTTTTGACACTTAAGTTTACTGTCTTGGTAAAGCAGATAGAGTGTTATTTAAAGTCTTGCTGTGTGACCTCAGTAAGTTACTTAATCTCTTTGTCTTTCTGTCCACCTCTAGAACTTACCTCTTGAGGCATAATTTATGTTTATGAGGCTTTGTCCTACCCTAAAGAAATCTTAACTATACAGAGAAAAGGGCCAGGTTTTTTTTTTTTGTTTTTGTTTTTTGGTGAGGCAGTTGGGGTTAAGTGACTTGCCCAGAGTCATACAGCTAGAGAATGTTATGTGTCTGAGGTCGCATTTGAACTCAGGTCCTCCTGACTTAAGGGCCGGTGCTCTATTCCGCTGTGCAACCTAGCTGCCTATAAGGGCCATCTGTCTTGATCTAATTGGTGCGCTTCTGATATTATTCTGACTAATGACTTATATTGATATTTAACACATCAAAGTTTTCAAATAATTTCCTGTAAGTTTTTAAACTGAGATTTAAAATTTTTTTATGCTACCAAAATTTCTCCAAGCATCTCTCTCCCATTTCCTCCAGAGAACTATCTTATATAACAAATAATATTTTTAAAGATAAGAAAAAGAGGAAGAGGAAAAAACCTCAGTAAAACAGCTAATTAATATATATATAAAAAGTCTGACAATACATGCACTATACCATACCTGTGGACCTCTGGTTTCTGTAAAGGAGCGGGGCATTTCTTTGAAGCCATGCTTGTTCTTTGTAATTTTGCAATACTCTCTTTTGATTGTTTTGTGGTTATTCTTTGCTAAATATTTACACTGTTGTCATCATGGATGTTTTCTTGCCTCTGCTTACTTCACTGCATCAGAATCTGCATCAGATTGTGTAAAATCTTTGCATGCTTCTCTGTATTCATCATTTTCATAATTTCTTATGGTGCAGTAATATTCTATGTACCCCAATTTGTTTAGAAATTCCTCAATGAGCATCTACTTGTTTTCAAAGTATTTTCACATATCCAGTCAGGGCCCAGTGTTCTTTGGCCCTCAAATGAATTATCTGCCCTTTTATTCTTCCATATACAGAGTCCCAAAAGTCTTATTGCAGCTCTAAGCCACTAAAATTTGAAACTGCCCTAAGACTTTTGGGACACCCTGTATTTTGCTTTAAAAAACTACTTCTTTTGCGGAGATCGGTTACTTTTTTAATCATGAAATCCTCCAAGTGAATCCAACTCCTCAGAAAAGTTGCTGGTTAGTTGGGTTATTGGTTAATAATGTCAATTGCTTAATTTTTTAATATGATGATTTGAAATAGTTAAGTAACTCTTTAGGGTACTCACTTCAATGAGCTGAGTTGGGTTATAAAGAGCAGGGAAAGAGAGTAGAAAGAAATTTTTAAGAGGCCTCCAGCCTGGAGGCATGATTATAAATGATTGGGGATATGACTTCAGGCAGACTTGAAAAGCTGAAGTGATTGGTTTAGGACCTTTTGTGGTATGGTGCTGTTTTTTTCTTTTAAAAAATTAACAAAATTAGAAATCCAACTGAAATAAGGGGGTTGGGAACAGGTGGCTTAGTAGATAGAATGGCACACCTGGAGTCAGGACCTGAGCTCAAGTCCAGCCTCAGACACTTACCAGCAGTGTGATCCTGGGCAAGTCACTTAACCTTGTTTGCTTCAGTTTCCTCATCTATAAAATGAGTTGGAGAAGGAAATGGCAAATTGCTCCAGTATCTTTGCCAAGAAAACCCCAAATGGGGTCACAAAGAGTGGGACACAACTGAAAATGACTGAACATTTTTACCAGCTTAAGGATACCAGATAGAGTCTTTCCCCTGAAAAAAAATAGGCGGTAGAAAATTATGACCGGTTCTTTCCATGGAAAGACAGATGATAGTATTTGAAGGAGACTTTGTGGTGGCATTATTTCAGATGTTATTATAGGTCATAAATGGTAGGAAAGCTCAATACACACTTGGTGGATAGTTCCATGGTATGACATGAAAACATTGTGTTTATCTTGTTACCAAAGCTTGAACTCACACTAGCCTCTGGGATTTTAGCCATAGCATGGATTTTAGCCAAACCTGGAGAGAGAGAGAGAGAGAGAGAGAGAGAGAGAGAGAGAGAGAGAGAGAGAGAGAGAGAGAGAGAGAGAGAGAGAGAGAGTGTGTGTATGTATTTGTGTATGGGGGATTAACAAACATTTATTGACGTAATAGGTTTATATTTAGGTAATAGGTATATAGGGTGGCTACTCTTACTGGTAGCATCTTATACCTTTGACCTACTCACATGCCTATCTGTTTACTTTCTGGGCTGACTAAATTAATTTGACCTTTGATCATACTAGCAGGTCTGGGTTCCAGGAGAAGAGCCACTGTCAAACCTGTTAACATTCAAATTTGCTCAAATTCTCAGGGGTAATCTCGTTAAAAGGAAATATGCTCCCCACCAATATAGCACACGTGACTCCTTACTAATGAATTTCTATTTTTATATAGGGCGCCACTCAAAATAATGACACTTTTAGGTTTTAAACATAATTATTTGCTTAAAAATAAGGCAAATAAATGGATAATATCACATACTCACATGTTCAAGTAGTGCATAACTAATATATGCATCACAATCCACAGATAAACCTGAGTCACACCCTTCTACCAATGCAGTCAATATCTGGGGGATGTGTGGGCACAAACTTGTAGAAACCTGCCAGGAAAGTATGTGAGTGGGAAAACCCATGTATTCAGAGTAATTCACAACTCTGTACTTATTCCTTCTTAGGAAAACTGTCCCTAAAAATACCTTGATTAATGCATCTTCTGAGTTGAACCTTCTTCTACCTCTTCTTCCCCTAAAATGAGTTGCTGATTAACATTTGACTAGATGAAGCCTAAACCAAACTAGTTGATCCACTGAGTGACTGCTTTGATTTTCTGTTCTTCTGCTCGGGTAGACATATTGCTTGTAACAACTCTGGTATCTATCGCTCCAACTTCAAACTCAGCTGGTGCAGTTCTGAAATCTGTCCTTTTACCTTTCTTAACCTTTCAAATTGGATTTTCTAAAATGACTCACCTTAACATATGATTAATAACAATGATTATATTAAATATTATTATAATTATAATATTCCATATTTTAAACATCATATCCAAAACGGAACTCATCCTTCTCTGCCAACCAGCTACTCTTCCAAACTTCCCTTTTTCTGTCAAGGGCACCATCATCCTTCTAGTAACCCAAGTTCACAAGCTTGGAGCCTTCCTCAATTTTCCTCATACCTCATATCCAGCTGTTTCTCAAGTCTTGTGAGCATAGGTCTGATCATGTCACTCCCATACTCAGTAAATGCCAGTGGCTCCTTATTGCCTCATGGACCCAGTACAAACAACTCTGGTTTATAAAGCCCTTCAATCTACCTG